TGCATTTTGAGGCCATCCTCACTTAATAACTCTCTGAATTGTTAATTTTTAGGAAAAATGAGAGAGGGTCAAAGATTTCTGTCACGAATTTGTGCCCATAAGGTAAGAAAATTTATATACAAACTGTATGTTTTTTGTAGAAATTAACACAGAAAAAAGGGGTCTTCTCTTTAACACTATGTCCATTTTTCTTTCCAGATTTTGAGAAAACATCATCTTCTGAACCTGTTTTTAACTGGTGAGGGTCAGGTAAGACAAATGTTTTGAAATTCATTTTTCTAAAACAGGTCATTGTTAGAGAGTCAGTCCCTTATTGTTTAGAATACTTCCCTGCATATCATAAGGTTCAGGTTAGAGTCTTGGCAGCTCATAAGTGTTGTTATGTTAGACAAGATACTGTTACACTTCATGTGCTTTTCTCCTCTCTGGAGTACAAGTGGGAAACAGCAAACTGTTAGAGGTAACATTGACTAAATGTGGGTGAATAATGTGAATGTTGGACTTGCATTCCAACCAGGAGAAGTAGGAATATCTTCAGTTGCCACATGCTTCAGAAAAAGACATCACACATGTACAGTGTATGACCCGATGTCACAGGGCATAATTTTTTAGTATGTCTTTTCTGAACAAGTTTATGCTGGTATTAAATGTTCAGAAACTCTTTCCCAGTTGATGATGATGTTTTATAAATCACTTTCAGGATGTACAGAAAGCAAGAGAGGAACTAGATAAGAAAAAGAAAAAAGTCAACAATGTGGCTGAGAAAACTTTGAAACAGGAACCATGTGACCAGAATGCTCCTGTGATCAAATGTCAGGTTGTTATAATTTTATGAGTAATTATTTATCCAGTAAATTATTAGTCAAAATTCAATCAATTACTAAATCAGAATCGGAACTAATTCTGTTTGATGATGAAACAGATTGATGCAAGTAGCTTCACAGCTGTGTTGTTTTATAAAGAGTCATTACTGACAGAATAATATACAATCCTAGACCCTTTTGATCAGAGGTCATGAAAAATTTCAAAATGTTATTGGTAAAGGTAATGGAAGTCATTGAAATTTCTAACTTCAAAATAGTGCAAGCCTTGTTAATGTCTCCAAGACCCTGTTTCTGGTCTGATTAGAGATGCCTCCTGTATTTGGAAGAATATTGAGAACTTAATGTGTTGTATAAATACAAATCTGAGCTTCAATGTTGTTGTATTAATTTTCACAATAGAGATACTTGGAAAAGTTTGCAGAAAATCTTGATGGTTTGATCACACACCTTGAGGATAGTCTAAACAAGAACACAGTAGGTATGAATATAGAATTGATCCTTGCGGTTATGAACACTACTGAACTAATAGTTGAAATAAGGCCTGAAAAAAGCTCAGGCCCATACGGGATGTGAACCCATGACCTCTGTGATACTGGTGCAG